AAAGAGCTAGCTAGAATTTGGAAGATTTGAACTCCTAGGTGAGTAAATAAACTCAATTTCATGAGTTTAAGTTCATCCTTGCATGAATTATAGCTTGTTATGTGACTAAGAACAAGAATTTAGTTGAATTTGATGAAATGGAAGTCAATGTACACATGCATGTAAGAAATTGCCATGAATTTGCATATTTGAGCATGAAACATGTAGTTCAGGTTAATTTGAGAGTCCTTTACTACATACATGTGAGAATTATCATGATATGAAACTCAATTGTATGGATTTATGTTGTAATTAGAAGTTGGTTATTGAAACATGAAGAATATGACACCAAATCATACATGCATGCATAATTTCAATGAACTCTATAATTTTGAGCATCTTTTGTGCTATTTGAAGAGGGATTGGAGTCAATAATTGACATGCATAAATGATTCATGAAGATATGAAGTTTGTATGAAGTTTGAATGCAAGAGCTTTAACCATATCAAGAAAAATGTTAAATGATTTGAGAATTACATCATGGTTTTGGTCAATTTGTCTCAAATAACCTATATTCTCATGCCATGCATTGAGCTTCCATGTTTTTGTACCAAAAACATGAGCTTTGGGCCTTTGAATACTAAGTTTGAGCTTCAAATGCGATTTTGGAAATTCCAAAATTTGGCATGTCCGCTCGAGCGGGGAAACCACCGCTTGAGCATGAAATGTTAACTCCCAGAAGTTTTGCAGACATTGATGTATGCTCAAGCGGGAGGAGTTACGCTCGAGCGCCCAGTCACATGTTTTGACTCTTAGCTTGAGTGTCCAAAGTCATGTTCGAGCGCAAAAATGAGGTAACAAGTACTTTTGCGAACCAAAGGAGTCCACTCGAGTGGCGAAAGCTGCGCTCGAGCGGAGATCCCTGTTTCAGAAATTTTTTTAAAGTGTGTTTTATGATTTATTTTTCGTTCTCTTTCACTTCTGAGCACTCTTAGGCATGCATTGCGAATTATAAATGAGTTAAAAAGATAAGGAAGAAGCCTAAGAAGGATATATGGATTAAGAACGGATTGAATCGCTTGTGACCCATTATGTTTATGAAATGTGTAGGGTTAAGTATAAGGGTAAATCATCCGCCAGATCACTATGAGTAATATCTTATTAAAGATATGTTCAAGTACGTTATTTTCCAAACGTTACTTCTGTATAAGCCTTATGGATTTGTATTTTGAATTGTGGATAAATCAGTCTTTTGCATAAGACTAATTGAATATGGGTATGATGATGATCACGGGTATGTGACACATATAAATACAAATATGAAAATGAATTGGGTTGAAGGCCGTTTGTCATAAACGAATTGGGCCAAAGGCCATTTGACATGATGGATTGGGCCAAAAGTTGTTTGACATAAACGAATTGGGCCTAAGGCCGTTTGACATGAGTGATTGAGCCAAAGGCCGCTTGATATGCATGATTTGGCCAAAAGCCGTTTGACATGAATGAATGGGCCAAAGGCCGTTTGATACGAACAAATAGGGCCCGAGGCCATTTCATAACAACGAATTGGGCTTGAGGCCGTTTGATGTATTGGATAGAATCATGATGGGCCTAAGGCCGTTTGGTATAGCTGCTACAAATCTCATTCATGTACTCTTTTATTTTGATATTATTCACTAGGCTATCGCTTACTCTCATTTATGTATGTATAGGTGAGCAAAGAGATGTCCAAATCCAGCCCCAGTGAAAGACATGAGAGGAGTCAAGTTTTTGTGGAGTCAGCCCGAACGTCTCACGCATGAGACCTTGCGTTATTTCTTTTACTTTTAATTTCCCTTTTGTTATTTTGATGAATATGTTGGATCACCACATACATAAGTTTTTTGTTGGACTGACTATATGTTTGAAAGGTCCTGGACACATAATCTATTAATTTTATCTATACGTGTGAGTTATTATGAAATGTTTGTTTTACTATGTAAGCACAGGTCGCTGGACAAAATTTTTAAGTCTACTTCCGTTTTGGCCTCTTATTCTATTGAAAATAAGTTTGATCATGTTTGAGGCTGTAGGTAATCCCTTGATTACTGGCCGGTTATGACCTTAATCCATAGGGACGGGTTCGAGTCATGACATTCTACCTCTACCAATTCAAAATTTTATTACTAATTATTTCTCAAAATAAGTATTTTTCATAAACAAAATTCAAAATAGCCATATGTATTTTTAAGATAAATTTTTATTAAAAATAGGTATTTTTAAAATTTTATAAAAACTCTAATTTCTCCAAATAGGTATTTTTCATACTAAAAACAAAATCAAATACCTATTATAATAAAAATTTTAAAAAATAAAACTAAAGACTGGTCCGAGTAAAGTTTAATTTTAATTTTTTATGTAATAAATGACAAATTCTTTGAATAGTTTGACATTCTCAACAAACAAACAAACAAACAAAAAAATCTTTCATTCCCTATCAACTAATTTTCATTTGTTGTAAAAAGATTATATTATTTCTTTTTTTATTACTTTTAAACTTTGTTAATAACTTAGAGAATATTAAGTGACATTTTTTTTATTAAACACTACTAGAAAAAACACTTTCTGTGACGAACATGTTTGGTCGCGAAAAGTACCATATTTGGTCACTAAAACCTTTTCGCGACCAAAATACGTTGGTCGCGAGTTGGTCGCTAAAGCCTCGTGACAGATAGTTTTCTGCGACCAAAAAAGCCTTTGGTCGTTAAAAGTGACCATTCGCGACCAACTTTTTTGGTCGCGGAAAGTCCAATTTATATTAGCCAAAAGGAACTTTTAGCGACCAAAAAAAGTGACCATTGGCGACCAACTTTTTTTGTCGCGAAAAGTCCAATTCATATTAGCCAATAGGGAACTTTTAGCGACCATAGATAAGTTGGTCGCCAAAAGTCAGCGCCTTGATCCAAAAAAATTAATTCTTTTACGCTGTCTAAGACTTGAACTCCTGACCAAGGAGTCACCATGCACCCAATCCACTCTACTAATAACATGCTTCTTGTTCATATTTGGTAGAGAAAATATATAACCCATAAAAATTGGGTTATATATTATTTTATAAAACTTTTAATGCCTCCTTTGGTCGCTAAAGGGTATACTTTCCGCGACCAACATTTTTTTGGTCACCAAAAGGTATACTTTCCGCTACCAAAAAAGCCTTTGGTCGCTAAAGGGTATACTTTCCGCGACCAACATTTTTTTGGTCACCAAAAGGTATACTTTCCGCTACCAAAAAAGCCTTTGGTCGCTAAAGGGTATACTTTCCGCGACCAACATTTTTTTGGTCACCAAAAGGTATACTTTCCGCTACCAAAAAAGCCTTTGGTCGCTAAAGGGTATACTTTCCGCGACCAACATTTTTTTGGTCACCAAAAGGTATACTTTCCGCTACCAAAAAAGCCTTTGGTCGCTAAAGGGTATACTTTCCGCGACCAACATTTTTTTGGTCACCAAAGGTATACTTTCCGCTACCAAAAAAGCCTTTGGTCGCCAAAGGGTATACTTTCCGCGACCAACATTTTTTTGGTCGCCAAAAGGTGATCTTCCGCGACCAAAAAAGCCTTTGGTCGCCAATAGGTATACTTTCCGCGACTAACTTTTTTTTTGGTCGCCAAAAGGTGATGTTTCGTGACCAAAAATTTGTGGTCGCCAAAAGTTAGATTTTAGTCTCAGAAAGTGGACTATTTGCGACCAAAAAAAATAGGTGGTCACCAAAAGTGTTTTTTCTTGTAGTGAAATGTCGATTAAAAATTAAGAACTAAAATAAAAAAAATAAAATTTGAAAATAATATAGGATTGTGAAATGACATGCGGCATAACAATGATGGAGAAAAAATGATAAAGAAAATTAACAAAGGAGAGAATGGTAGAGCAAATAAAAAGTATATGGCGCTACTGTTAGTTGTAGCAACAACTATGAATAAAGTGAAGAAATAGAAGAAGAATGAAAGAAATAAAAAGAATAAGAAAATTGGAAATTAATTTAAGAAAGATAGATGGATGGTTTAGAGAGAGTAAATGGATCTTGCTTAAAGAGAAAGAAGAATAAGAAAAATAAGAAGAAAAAAATTGAAGAAAGAAGAAAAAAGAAAGAAAAAGAAGAAAATGAATTTTTTTTAAAAAATGTTATATACAGTAGAGAGAGTATCAATTTAGTGAGAGGAAAAAGATAATGTGGGCTAAGATCCTGTAGTTGCGCCCATAGGAATAATAAATATGGAAGGCCTTTGTAATTATGTAAAATTTCAAGGGAGTTTAGTGCAATTTACTTTTTAATCTTTGTATTGCAAGAAATAAATGATCAAGGGCAACTTTGACTTTTTAATAGCAAAAGTTGATGACATCATCTTATTCTATTGTACATTCTAACAAATTGACGATGAAAAATGGACTCTTGATAATAATTTCAAAAATAGAAGAAATTACTGTAATTATTGAAACTATAAGGAAGGTTCCTATAATTATCAGAAAGAAATTTAGGGGGAGGTAAGTGTAATTTACCCAAAAAATTAAGTATGAAGTTTTTAGAAATTGTAATTTAGGCATAATGAAAGGAGGGTTTCTAGTTGTTGTGGTTTTGGCCTTGTTAAGAACATGATATCTGCAGTGGCTAGTCTTCTATCCCTTCTTCGTGTCATGGTGGTCGATTTCACCTATAGCAGAGGAAGTGAAGCAATATCAGTTGGGTTTTGCTAGCACTAGAAACTAGGGGTGGTCACGGATCGGTTTTGGATGGTTCGATTTGTGGTTTGGACCTGTCCGCATGTCTGCGATTTGGGAAAAATTGAGCCCTCAACCGCCAGCAATGCAGGTTGCGGTTTATGCAGATATGTGGGCAGTTTACGAATTAGATCATTTTAGTCAATAAAACATACAAAATTAAAGAAAAATGCAAGAATAAGCAATTATGATTTTTGTAAAGAAATAATAAGTCATCAACATTACAAGTATTTCTAAGAACACATATTAAAGCATTTTAGTCCATAAAGATTTACAGATTCAACGAAATACATGAATAAACACCGGTACTACCCTTGAACTGGTGGACATGGGCATCCACCTGTTTATAATCTACAATCCGTTGTTGTTTGTATATCCAAAAACAACCCATTAATCCTAGGTCTCCATATTCAATTCCTATACATTAAAAATACAAGAAAGACAAAATAGACAAAAGATTCTCACAGAGAAGAGGTCAAATTGTTGAGAAACTTCTCAAAATCTTGAAAGAACAGTGATACTGTTTCAACAACAAACTCTGGGTTACTCTTATCTTACAGTTTCTAAAGCTGCGTAAACTGATCATCCAAGAAACCCTTCTCGCACCCCCAAAAAACAACAACCCATCATTAAAAAAACCTCAAAGAATCGGAATCAAAGCCATAGAAATCAAAAAGAACCCTAAACAGAGCAACCCAATTGAAAATTTTGTGAAATACACTAACCTCGCAATAAAGGGAAGTTGTGTAATTAACGAACTGTCTCTGCAACGAACTGATAACATCCATGGAGCCACAACCAGAGGTGTTGCTGAAGAAGAGAGGAAAAAAGAAGGAATACGAGAGAGTGAAAGAGTGACAACTGTGCCGTAGCCGGAGGTGTTGGGCCGTAATATTTTATTGAGTTCTAAAACAATACACTTTTTAAATTTCAGTTATTCGAGCATAAATTACTTTCAACATATTTAATTTAAATTTTAACATATTTTTGTTTAGATACAAAATGGTGTTATAATTATGTTCATAATTCGCGGTGTGACATTTGGTTTGCTCCAACATCTCCAACTTGCAAGTAGATCTGCATGATATTGTTTTCTTTTACCCATCTTGATATTGCTTGCATACAGATTTGGATTGAAACACTTTCTCATATTTATTCAATAAAACCACTTATATAAGCTTATTTTTTGGTAGGTGACCCACACTATTTTTGCGGATAAAGTCATACAAGTAAAATAGTCATAGTTTTGGTATTGTATTAATTTCATGAGAATCTTATTTTTATAGTTTGGATATTGTATTGATTTCATGAGACTCTTGTTTCAAGAATGTGCTTTAAAGTGATTTATACAAACTACTATACGGCCGTAAGATTACTCCGATTCAATCAATTGAATGGATCAATAACTATGATTGATTTACTTCAATAAATTTTTATTTAAGAAAAGTTTAAAATTTTTTATTGATATGATTGTTGTAAACTATTGATAAGAAAAGTTTAAAATATGAAAAGTTTAAAATATGATTTTAACCCCAAAGGGTTTAGTTTAATGAGATAAGAGGCAATTAAAAAGTTTACTACTTAAAAGGTCACACACCAGGTCTAAACATCTTAAATTTTGTGGCCACTGAATATTAGTTCAGTTGTTAAGTTTTCAACTATATATATATATAAATTAATATTTTATGATGTGTTGCAACTTTATAAAACGAAATGTTCAAAATGGTCCAAATTAGGCTCACATTATTTGAAGCCCACCTTCCATATGGGCCAATGGAAGTCAAATTCAATAATAATTTATTTAAATTTAATAAATTTTAAAATGTATTTGAATTTGACTTATTTATTTTTCAAGTTGATTTGAGATGAGGTTTAATTAAACTAATCACAAGTCAAACTCACGAACGACAATAATTTTTTTTAGAGCTAAATCAAACTGAGTAGTAAATTATTTAAATTTTAATAAGTTGTAAATTGTGTTCAAAATTGATTTATCTATATAACGTGCCGATTAAAAAAAATAACGAATTAAATTTATACCAAACTTACATAATTTGATTCATTTTACGAACATAATATCAACGAGAGAGCATTTGGTCAAACAATACATGCATCACTTCATTCAGTTTCAAAGAACCATGTACAAGTTAATTTAGAAAGATAGGAACATCACCAAATTAAAAATAAATAAACCTGATAACTATGACCTTTTTGTTTCGGCTAAATATATATATATATATATATATTGAAGTAAATGCTTGTTTTCGACAAAAAAACGCAAAATAAATCTACTTTTTCATTAAAATAAATCTTTTTTGATAATTACAAAACAAACCAATATTTTTAAATTCCATATAAAAAAATTAAATAAATAAATAAAACTAAAAAAATAATTGTCAAATCCCACCTAAGAGCCTCGGACATGACCACCCGGTTGTCCCGGGATAGATTTGGTGAAGGTGAACCGTTGGAGCCTGAAGTATCAAATTCAGGAAATGACCATTTTTGAACTCAGAATTGGTGAAATTTTTGATTCACGGTTGGAGATGCTCTTACACCTTTCAAAATAATATTCAAAGTGAGTAATGAAAGATGCAACTGGCGATGTTAATCATCAGTCGCAAATAGGGACGGAATGAGGATTCTATCTTTCAGGGGGTCAAAATAAAAATATTTATTTAATGTAGATTTATTTGTTTTTTTAAATTAAGATTTTTTTTTTAACTGACTAAGTTGCATTTTTTATTTTGAAAAACCACTCACTTAAGCAGTAAGCACTACACAAGAAATAAAAAATTACTAAATTAAAAAAAAGAAGAAGAGAGAATAAGATTTTATCACATTTTATTTATCATATAATATAATATTATTGCATTAGCAACAAATATGAATTATAGAACTCATTATACTAATGCAATAATATATAATATTATAAAAAGAGTTAGGCATAAAAATATAATCATCATAATATAATTGTTCTGCTATGGAGTTAGAAAAGAGAATAAAACACAAGAAATAAATAAATAAATAAAATAAAATAGAAGAAGGGGAAAACAAAAAGAAGAGAGAATAACAAGAGACATTAGAAACATAAAAGTAGGTTATAGTAAGGTTGTGTTTGATTCATGGATTTGAGTAGAAATTTACAAAAAGAAGAAAAAAAACTATGTAAATGGAATGTAATTATATATTTTGTTCATATTTCACTTATTTTTTCTCTTTTCCTTTTTAAATTTCTATTCAAATTCATTAATCAAATACAACATAAATACTTTTTCACATAGAGTGCACATGAAATTATTCGAGTTAAAAGCAAAATAAAAAAAATAAGAAAGTGGGGGTGAAGATTAAATAGAACATTTATCAAGTGGGGAGGGGAGGTGCAATACACGTACACATATGGAAATGGATATAAAATGCGTTAGGATCCTCTAGAGTGATCTCCTACAGTAAAGCAGAGGAGTCCGACATGTGTCCCACTCACAAAATCAAGGGTTGAGATTTAAACTTACAAAAACGACATCGTTTTGGTAAGTAAATTGGAAGAAAAAATAAAAAATCCAAAATTCTGGGTTTCACTTTTCACTCATCAGTTCCTGGGGAGAATTAGAGAGAGAGAGAAAGGACCAGGGCTTGGCAGCAACATCTCCATCTTTGGCGACTGGAGAAAAGAAGCAATATTGGTGGCTTAGCAATAGAAAGGTATTTCAAACACCTTGATGATGATGATGATCAGATCGTTACATTTCGTTTCGTGATTTGCATTCAATCCCTAACATTTATATATTTTTCCACAGATTATAGATAAACATATCAAAGATGCGAGAATCTTGAGCATCCATGGTAGAGGTTTTGGTGAGTTGATGGTGGATGTTAATGTGATACGAGAAGGTGGCAGTTATGGATGAAATAGGGTTTGGGGGAATTGATTTTTTTGGGTGGGAAAGAATAAAATGGTGATTGTCCAACAGTTGCGATTGGCGTTGATGCCAATTTGGGGCATCCTCTATTTTTTGGCAGAGAGAGAATAAAAAAGAAAGATGAAAGATAAGAGGAAGAGAATGGATAGGGGCTATTGTTTTCATCATCATCATTATCAAGGCCTGGCTGAACAAATCTACCTCTTTCAAGCATATGGATGGTTTGTTTGTATAGAAGCTAAATCAAGAGATTGAATCGATTTAAAAGAAATCGAAACACCCAAAATCAAAGCTCTGGTCCCTTCTCTCTCTCTCTCTCTCTCTCTCTCTCTCTAATTCTCCCCAGGAACTGAGTGAAAAAGATAGAGATGTTGTCAAGAATTTTTTTTTGTTTGTTTTGTTCTTTTCAATTTAGTCACCAAAACGACGTCGTTTTGGTGAGTTTAAATCTCAACTCTTGAAGGCTGAGTGGGACACGTGTCGAATTCCTCTCCTTCATTGTAGGAGATCACTCCAGGGAAAGACTCTAGAGAATCCTAACGCCCCTCGTTGGTCGCAAAGGTGACATATGTGTCTGTGTCTTGTCAGTCACAATCATCCAATAAAATTTTAAATTAAACTTTTGATTCGATGAACAAGTGGACAAACATTTTTTTGGATAACACTCTATTTCATAATTAGAATAATTAAATTAGGTGGTAGGATGATGATGTGTATGGTGTGCGCGTTGTATTGAATTGAATTATCTCTATTATATTCTTAAATCGTAGTTCACTACTTTCTTGGTCTAAAGGTATCCCCAATATTATATCTTTTTTTTTATTAAATTTAAGTAAAAACTCCATCTGATATCATATGTTCCTACGAAAGATTTTGAACTTTCATCAAAACACCGGTCAACTGACCAGTTTAATTTTTTCACAATTTTTTGTAAGGAGATAGTCATTCAGGAGGACAACCGGCCGGTAGTTTGGTGGTGAAAATGCAACAGGTATAACTAATGAATTGATGATAGCTCATAACCATACTCAATTTGGCGAAAGATTTAACATATCTTCGATTTGATATTTTGGTGAAACAATGGAGCAACAAAAGGGGACCTTTTTTCATCAAATTTAAATTTGATGAAACAATAGGTAAAATGTTGGAGATGATCTAAGAAGCATTTGAGAGGGTCGTCTTCTTATTTGTAACAATGGTATCAATTGAATTCAAAATTATCAAAATTTAGAAAATTCATTCAATTATATATACTAGCCAAATTAAGGGGGGGCAAAAAATACCATAACATAATATCAATTAAACTAAACAAATATCATAATCGAATATAAGGCTAGTGAGTGATGTGAATATCTAAAGAGATTGGAGAAATTATTCAATACTCCTACAGTAAATATAGGTGGTACTGTTGGAACACTTTCATAATATATTTATATATATTTTAATTATATGAATTAATGGAGAGGTATGACTTTTGGGTTTAAACCAAATGGTGTAACCATTGAGTTTAAATAAAGAGATGTGTTTTTTGGATTTAAACCAAAAGACATGACTCTTAGATTTAAAGGATGTCACTTTTGAATTTAAAAGATACAACCTTTGGTCTAAGAGATACAAACTAATGCCTATATAACGGTGGAATGGATTGGCAATTGGTAATAAGAAATCCATACACTTTCTATAGAATTTTTCTCTAACATTAATATAGTTATTTTCTTCTTGTACTTGGTGGATTAGAAAAATCCAAAGGTATTGAGGATCTGATTTCGTTCGTGCATGACGTAGTCAGACATCAGTTTTTAAACTGGGCTTTATTGTATCTTGGAGACGGATTTGCAGGTAACCCAATGCACACCATATTCGATAGAATTGGTAAGGGAGAATATCATCTTAAGGAAAGCAATGTTGTAACGTGCCTTGAAGCAATCCTAATTATTTATGTTTTATTT